ATTCATGGCACTGTATAAGGCAAGCAAAATGGTCATCAGACATAAATCGTGCCTGAATAATTAAGATTAATCCATTATTCATATAACTCATAGTTTAACATTAGTATGCAAAGCTGTTAATTCTACTCCATAATGCAATAAATATTTGGCATGATGTGCAGGTTAAATTTACTATTCACTACATCTGTTAAAAAATATGGAAAATCTTCAGTTGGTTAAAATTACTCACAAAACATTTTCAGATGTTCACAGTCCAGTTAATGTTGCTGCAGTACTCTCTTTATTTAAGTGTACTCTCTTAAATAAAAACCATCTGTAAAACTTTTGAAAAAATAAGGAATGAAGTAATGATTCCATTTTAAGTGCCTGCAACATCATGTTTATATTAATAAATTCAGACAGAAGAGAAAGTTGCAGCTCTAGACAAAGTGCCACCAACTCATGTCATGAAAGTTTGTGGCTGAAACATTTTCTTATAGAAAAATATTTGGTGAAAATCCAAAATTTGTATTTTCATAAGACATCCAACTCCCAGAGGTAAAATTCATTGCAAAATTGATAAAACTTATTTGGTTAGGTGGTAGTTGTAAAAGTTTGACTTTCTTATTATTGAGAAGCACTAGGTTACAGATGAGCTATGCAGTCAGACTGTCTTGGTTTGAGTCCCAGATCTTCATTCTACTAATAGGGTGATCTTAGCCAAGTTTCTTATTCCTTCTGGAGCTCAATTTTCTAATCTTGAAAATGAGGAGAGCAAGAGTATGTACCTCATAGAGTTGATGTAGGCGATTAAATGATATAATCCATGTGTGGTGTTTAACAGAGATAAACCACGTATGGCCTGTTAAAAACCATACATGTAAACACCATGTTTGTACTTCCATGCAAGTACAAAATCCAATAAGGCAGTCATTAAACCTTAGAGTTCTGAATTGATTTTCTTTAACTCTGTCTCTACATCCAGGTCATGCTGATGCTAAAAGTGGGCTCCCATGGCCCACCCCTGTGGGAAGCCACAGGAAGCTCCACCCCTGTGGCTTTTCAGGATATGGTCCCCCTTCTGGCTGCTCTCATGGGCTGGCACTGAATGTCTGTAGCTTTTCCAGGTGCACTGTACAAGCTGTCAGTGGATCTCTCATCTGGAGTCTGGAGGACAGTGGCCCTCTTCTTACAGCTCCACAAGCACTTAATCAAAGTACACTAGTACATATAGAGCCTAAAGTAGTTGTCATCACAAAGTTTTATCATCATGAGCTAGATGTTGATCTTATATAGGTTTGTGACAGAGAGTCAATTTTCTTAAGAAATTATTTTTTAAATCTATATGTTGAAAATCTGGTTATATTGGTACATATATAGGTGACCAAATGAGCTAGTACTATATGAACACTATTTCATTTTTTTTAAAGCATGGAAATGGTTGTATCAGATTTTTTGAGGGATAGACATTGAACAAAAGGGAAATGGTTAGTTGAAGACTAAGATGAGGATATGAGTCATCACTGGTTTGGGGATAATGAATGATAAAAGGAGGGGCTGGGGAGTGGGAATGGGTTGTTTAGATGTTACAGTTTTGTCAGGGGTCACCCCATATCACCTATCAAAGAAAAGAACTATTCAGGTTGCCGTTCTTGTAGCACCTATGCATATAAATATATGTATATGCTATTGTATGCAGCTTCTTGTTTCTCATAGCACTGTTACTAAAATAATCTTATACTAAATGGTGTGTATTATCTCCAGTGAACAAATGAGAACAAACAGATTTTATGAGTCAATACGTTAAAGTCACATGTCCAGAAATAACCCAGGTGCTAAATGTCAATAGTGAATTTGATGGGGTTTTCAATGTAAAGGGTAAAGTCACAGGATTAAACAGCTAATTAGAAGAGAAGTAATATTATGAAAGGGGAAGTAGAGGAATCTATTGGAACATATGGGACAGAGGCCTTTAATTTTGTCCAGGAATTCAGAAAGGCCTTCTGGAGGAAATGTACTTAAGCTGAGACCTAACATGTAAGTTGATGTAGCCATGTAATTTGGAAGGAAAACAGGAATAAAAGGGAGGGACAAATATTCTAGACAGTGGGATAAACATGTGCAGTGGCCTGGAGAGAAAAGAGAGAACATGATGTTAGGGATTGAAAATACAGTTTCCTATTACTAGCTGGGAGTCATAAAAGCACAAGACTTAAAGGAGAGAAAATAACTAATGCTTGCTGAGCCCATAATGAATGGAATATCTTGTATCCAGAGAGCAGTCTGCAAAATTTGCTACCTAGTATTTTGCTTCATCAGGCTACCAAGTCAGGAAGTCATGTGAAGTCACCTTTTGGTGACAGGATGTGCTATTACTCGGTGCACCCAATATCGTTAGCCTTCACATTTAAAAAATAACTATTTAATTTTTAAGTTGATAAATATATATTCATATTCATGGGTTACACAGTGATATTTTAATACATATAACATATAGTGATTAGATTAGAAAAATTAGCATATCCATCATCTCAAACATTTATTATTTCTCTGTGTTGTGACCATTCAGTATCATCCTTCTAGATTTTTCTAACTATATTTATTGTTAACTATAATCATCTGACAGTGGTATAGAACACTAGAATTTATCGCTCCTATCTACATGTAATTTTATATTCATTTAAAAATTTACATTGATACATAATATTTGACACATTTATGGGTATAGATGATATTTTGCTACATGCACAAAATGTATAATGATCAATATCACTTTGAGTATTTGTCATTTCTATGTGTTGAGAATAAAATATCTTTCTTAGCTACTGTGAAATATAAAATACATTGTTTTTAATTATAATCACTGTGTACTCTGATTTCCAGTGAGAGATTATATATTTTATTTAACTGTATGGTTATACTCAATAACCTACCTCTCTTTATCTTCCTAGTTTTGTATTCTTTAGCAAATACCCCCCTGTAGCCCCTCCATCCTTCCCTTCTTAGCCTCTAGTATTTTCTATTTTACTTTTTACTTCTGTTGAATCAACATTTTTTAGCATCCACATATGATGAGAACATGAGGAGTCTAACTCTTCCTGGCTTATTTTACTTAACATAATGTCCTCCAGCTCTATCCATTTTGCCATGAACAGAATTTTATTTTTTTTAATGGCAGAATTTTACTCCAATATGTATATATACCATATTTTCTTTATCCATTTATCTATTATTGGGCATCAAGGTTGATTCCATAGCTTAGCTATTGTGAATAGTACTTCAATAAACATGAGGGTGCAGGTGTCTTTTCGATATGCTGATTTCCTTTCTTTTCAATATATGCCCAGTAGTGGGATTGCTGAATCATATTTTTAATTTTTAGAAAAACCTCCATACTGTTCTCCATAGTGGCTCTACTATTTTGCATTCCCACCAACAATGTATGAGTTCTCTTTTCTCCACATTCTCACCAGCATTTGTTATTTTTTTGTCTTTTTGATAATTGCCATCATAACTGTGGTGAAATGATAGTGTATTGTAGTTTTGATTTTCAATTCCCTGATGATTAGAGACATTGAGTAGATTTTTAATGTATTTATTGGCCATTTGTATGTTTCTTTTGAGAAATGGCTCTTCAGATCATTTGGCCATTTTTAAATTGGATTTTTTTTAACATTTAAAAAATGTAAATTTTTTTTGTTGATGGGATGTTTGAGTTCCTTATGTATTCTAGATATTAATCACCTGTCAAAGGAATAGTTTGCAAATATTTTCTTACATTCTGTAGGTTGTCTTTTCATTTTGTTGGTTGGTTCCTTTGCTGTATGGAAACTTTCAATTTGATATAAATTCCGTTGTTTATTTGTTTTGTTGCATATGCTTTTGAGGTCTTATTTTAATTATTTTCCCCCAGGCTAATGTACTGAAACATTTTCTCTGCTTTCTTCTAATAGTTTTATATTTTGGGGTCTTAGATTTATGTCTTTGATCCAGTTAGAGTTGAGTTTTGTATATAGTGGGAGATAGGGGTCTAGTTTCATTCCCCTGCCTATAAATATCCAGTTTTCCCAGTACCATTTTTTGAAGAGTACCCTTTCCCCAGTGAGTCTTCTTGGCATATTTCTTAAAAATCACTTGTTTTTAGACACATGGGTTAATTCTGGGTTATCTATTCTATTCTGTTTGTCCATGTATCTATTTTTAGTCCAGCACCATGCTATTTTGCTTACTGTAGCTTTGAGTATATTTTGAAGTCTGCTAGTGTGATTCATCTAGATTTGTTCATTTTGCTCAGAATTGCTTTGGCTACTTGGGGTCATTTTTGGTTTTATACAAATTTTAGGACTGCTGTTTCTATTTCTGTGAAGAACATCACTGGTATTTGGATCCAGATTACACTGGATTTATAGATTACTTTTGGCAGTATGGCATTTTAACAATATAAATTCTTCTAATCCATGAGCAAGGAATGTTTTTACATTTATTTGTATCCCCTTCAATTTCTTTCATCAATGTTTTGTAATTTTCATTGGAAAGATCTTTATCTTTTTTGTTAAATTTATTTTTATATTTTACTGCAGCTATTATAAATGGATTGCCTTCTTGATTTTATTTTAGCTAGTTTATTAGTCATGTAAAGAAACATTACTGATCTTTTGTGTTGATTTTTTATCCTGCAACTTTACTGAATTGTTTTATCAGCTCCAAAATGTTTTTGGTGGAGTCTTTAGGTTTTTCTATATGTAAAATTATGTTATCTGTAAACCAAGTAAAATTAACTTCTTTTTTTCCAAATTGGATGCACTTTCTTTCTTTGGTCTATTTGCTCTGAGTAGTATTTCCAGGACTATGTTGAATAAGCATGCTAAAAGTAGGCATCTTTGTCTTTTTACAGTTATTAGAGGAAAAGCTCTTAGCTTTTCCCTGTTCAGTAAGGTGTTAGCTGTGGTTTTGTCATATGTGGCCTTTATTATATTGAGGTACGTTTTTCTTTCTATACTTAATTTGTTGAGAGTTTTTATCATGAAGGGATGCTGAATTTTATCAAATGCTTTTTGGGCATCTATTCAGAAAATTATATGGATTTTGTTCTTTACTCTATTGATGTGCTATATAATATTTATTGTTTTGTTTGCATTTGTTGAAGCATCCTTGTATTTCTGGCATAAATTCCACTTGATCATGGTGTACTATCTTTTTGATGTGCTATTGGATTTTGTTTGCTCGTATTTTATTGAGGATTTTGTGTTTTATTCATCAGATATATTGGCCTTCTTTCTTTTACAAAAACCTAAAGCTAGGTTTTTTTTTTTTTTTGTGTGTTGTTTTCTGCCTTTAGTATTCATGTTATGCTTTCCTGTATCATGAGTTAGAAAGAATTCCCTGTGCTTTAATTTTATTAAATAGTTTGGGAAGAATTGGTGTTAATTCTTTTTTAAAGGTTTGGTAGAATTCAGCAGTGAACTATTCAGTCCTGGATTTTCTCTTCTTTCTTTATTTTAAAAAAATCTTTTATTTTATTTTAATTTGTTTTTAGAGACAGGGTCTCACTCTGTTGCCTAGGCTGAGTGCAAATATTTTCTTACATTCTGTAGGTTGTCTGTAGTAGTGCAATCATAGCTCACTGCAGCCTTGGCCTCCTGGGCTCAAGCAGTTCTCCCATCTAGGCCTCCCAAGTAGCTGGGACTAATGGTGTGCATCACTATGCCTGGCTAATTTTTAAATTTGTGGTAGAGATGAGATCTTACAAGTTTGCCCAGGCTGGTCTCAAACTCCCGGTCTCAAGTGATCTCTTGTCACTGAGATTACAGGTGTGAGCCAACACACTTGGCCTGTATGTTGATCTTGTACCTAGCAATGTTGCTAAACGCACTTATTGGGTTTGGTGCCTTAATTAAGGGTAGATTCCATCTGATTTTCTAAATAAATGATAATGTCATCTGTGAAGACAGACAGTTTTACTTTTTCCCAATTTGGACAACTTCTATTTCCTTTTCTTATATTATAGCAATGGTTGGATCTTTCTGTAAAATGTTAGAAGTGATGAGAGTGAACATTCTTTTTTTAGGTCTTAGGAGGAAACTATCCTATTTAATCTTTCACCGCAAAATATGATGTTAGCTTTAGGTTTTTGTAAATGTTCTTTATCAAATCAAGAAGTTCCCTTCTATGCCTAGTTTGCTGAGAATTATTTTGGGATTGATTTTGGAATAGTCAAATGCTTTTTCCATGTTTAGTTAGATGATCATATGTACTTCTTTTTGGGCTTGTTGATATAGTGATTTGATTAAGTTAAACATGAAATCTTACTTTGTCATGATGTATTATCATTTTTATACATTGTTGGATTTAATTTGCTAAAGGTTTTGCATTTAAATTCATGAGGGATATTGGCATATATTCTTAGTCAATTTATAAGGCTTTTATATTGCAGCACTGTTTTCAATAGCAAAGACCTGGAACCAACCCAAATGCCCATCGATAATAGACTGGACAGGGAAAATGTGGCACATATACACCATGGAATATTATGTAGCCATCAAAAATGATGAATTTGTGTCCCTTATAGGGACATGGATGAACCTGGAAACCATCATTCTCAGCAAACTGACACAAGAACAGAAAATCAACACTGCATATTCTCACTCATAGGTGGGTGTTGAACAATGAGAACACGTGGACACAGGGAGGGGAGCATCACACAGTGGGGTCTGTTGGGGGGAAATAGGGGAGGGACAGCAGGGGGTGGAGAGTTGGGGAGAGATAGCATGGGGAGAAATGTCAGATATAGGTGATGGGGAGGAAGGCAGCAAATCACATTGCCATGTGTGTACCTATGCAACAATCTTGCATGTTCTTCACATGTACCCCCAAACCTAAAATGCAATTTAAAAAAGGCTGTTATAACAAAATACCATAAACTTATCAACTGTTGTTGATAAGTTCTGAGAGGGACACCAAAATGGTCTAGTATTGCTGAGTGCCCTCTTTTGGGTTGTAGACTTCCAACTTCCTGTGTATCTTCTCCTGGTAGAAAGAGGGCAAGCAAGCTCTATGGGGTTCTTTTTATAAGGAATTCGTCACATTCATAAGAGCTCCACCCTCATGACCTAATTTCCTTCCAAAGTTACACCTTCTAATAGTATCACATTAAGGGGTAGTATTTCAACATATGAATATTGGGGAAATATAAACATTTTTCATTGCACATATGGTTTATTGTTATTATTTTTTGTAATGTCTTTGGTTTTGATATCACAGTAATTTTGCAGTCCTGGACTTCTATTTGATGAGAGACCTTTTATAACTGATTCCATCTCATTAGTTGTTATTGGTCTGTTCAAGTGGTCTGTTTCTTCTCGGTTCAATCTTGGTAGGTTTTAAGTATCCAGAAAAGTATCCATTTCCTTTATATTTTCAAATTTATTGGCATATCATTATTCACAGTATTCTCTTATGATCTTTTGTATTTTTGTAGTATCCATTGTTATGTCTTCATTTTTATTTCTGATTGTATTATTTGGATTTTTTTTTTCTTAGTAAAGCTAATGACTTGTTTATTTTGTTTACCTTTTCAAAAAGCAAACATTTAGCTTTATTGATCTTTTGTATTTTATTTTTAGCCTCAATTTTGTTTATTTCTTCTTTCATTGTATTTCCTTATATTAGTTTTGGGCTTGGTCGTTCTTGCTTTTCCAGTTATTTGAAGTATAATATTTAATTGTTTATTTAATGTATTCATTTATTGCCATAAACTTGCTTCTTAATACTTTGTTTGCTATATCTCATTGGTTTTGTTATTTTGTCTCCCTATTTTCACTGCTTTGAGGAATTTAAGTTTTATTTTCTTAATTTTCTCTTTCACCTATTGATCATTCAGAAGTGTGCTGTGTAATTCTCATGTATTTGTATAGTTTTGAATGGCCCTCTTGTTATTGATGTCTAATTTTATTTCATTATGGGTAGATAAGATGCTTGATAGAATTTTGATTTTTAAAAATATTTTGAGACTTCTTTGGTGTTTTAACACATGATCATTCTTGGAGAAAATTCTATGTGCTGATAAAAGTATGTGTATTCTGCAGCTACTGGGTGAAATTTTCTGTAAATGTCTGTTATGTCCATTTGGTATATGATGCAGATTAAATCTGATATTTCTTTGTAGATTTTCTATCTAGATAATCTGTACAATGCTGATAGTGCAGTGTTGAAGTCCCCAACTATGATTGTCTTGGGATTTCTCTTTTTAGATTTAATAGTATTTGCTTCATATATCTGGTTGTACTGGTGTTTGGTGCATAATATATTTACAGTTGTTATATTTTCTTGCTGAATTGGTCACTTTATTATTATATAATGTCATTCTTTGTCTTTTTAAAATAGTTTTTGACTCAAAGTTTGTTTTGTCTAAATGTAGCTACTCCTGCTCTTTTCTGGTTTTCATTTTCATAAAATACCTTTTTCTACCCTTCACTTTCAGATTGTCTTTAGAAGTTAGGCAAGTTTCTTGTAGGGAGTATGTAGTGGTGTCTCCAATTTTTTTAATTCATTCAGACAGTATGTATATTTTATTTATATATGAGGGAATCCAGGTTATTTTCATCTAAGATTATTATCGCTCTGTGAAGTTTTGTTCTTATCATTTTGTTAACTGTTTTCTGGTTGTTTTGTATAATCTTTGTTCCTTTTCTCTTAGTGTCTGTGATTGTGGTTTGGTGCTTTTCTGTAGTGATAAAGTTTGATTCCTTGTATTTCTCATTTGTGTTTTTGCTTTACTAGTGATTTCTATACTTTTGTGTGTTTTCATCATGGTATATGTTGTCCTTTTGTGTCCAGGTTTAGGGTTCCCTAGAGCATGTCTGGTAGGGCCAGTTTAGTAGTGACAAATTCTCTCAGCTGTTGCATATCTGGAAAACATTATTTCACTTTTGTGTATGAAGGATAATTTTGCTGGGCATAATATTCTTGAAAGTTTTTTTTTCCTTCAGGACTTTGAATATTTTATCCCAGTATCTCCTGGCCTGTAGGATTTCCACTGAGAAATCTGACGTTAGTCTAATGAAGAGTACCTTATATGTGACTTGATGCTTTTCTCTTGCTGCCTTTAAGATTCTCTCTTTGTCTTTGGACAATTTGACTACAACTGGCCTTGGAGAGAACATGTTAGAATTGAATCTATTTGGCATTTTGAGATTCCTGGACCTGGATGTTTATCTTTCTCTCATCAAGACATTTATCTTGGGAATTTTTCTGCTTTGGTTTCATCAAATACATTTTTCTCACCCTTTTCTTTTTTTCTCTTTCTGGAATGTCCATAATACAAGCATTTATTAACTTAAAAGTGTCCCATTTCTTTCTTTTTTTGATCTATTTGTGTTATTTCAAAAGGCTTGTCTTCAAGTTCAGAAATTATTTTTTCTGCTTGGTCTAATCTGTTGTTGAGGCCTTTAATTTTGTTTTCTGTTTTATTTATTGAAATCTTCAGCTATAGGACTTCTGTTTTGTTCTGTTTTATGAAATCTATCTCTTTTTCTTGAATTTCTCATTTAAAGCATGAATTGTTTTTCTGTTTCATGGAATTGTATTCACTTTTATCTCACTATGTTTTAAGATTATTATTTCAAATTCTTTCACCAGCATTTCATATGTTTGATTATGACTGACATCTATTACTGGATAATTTTTGTTTTCCTTTGTAGGTGTTATGTTTCCTTCCTTTTTAAGGTTTCATGTGTTCCTATCTTGATTTCCATGCATCTCATGAGATAGTTGCCTCTTTCAGTTATATGGAGTAGGTTTTGTAGGGGAAGGGATATTCATATGAATGGGTCTTGGGATGTTGGCCTTGCTTCAAGGTGGACATAGTAATGTAGTATCCATGTAATTTCATTAGCTGTAGTACACACTACATTTGTGAATTTCTCAGTGGCCTAGCCTGAGAGTTTATGGTGTGGCTTTGCTAGTGGTAGGCTCAACCAGTTTTTCAGGTGGCACACACATCTGTTCATGTGGTGGGTCAGCCAACTTGGGTTCTGGTTTGCTAGGTTTCCTCTGGCCAGGAACGTGGACACTTGTTTTCTCAGCCTGCTTGTAGGTGTGCCTGCTAGAAGCATCCCATAGGGTTGTTTCTCAGGCCTGGGGTACAGCTACATTAATGCTCAGTTGCTCTGAGAGTACATTTTCTGAGAGTGATCCACAAGGCTGTTACTCTGACCTTGCTTTGAGGTGGACACAGTGGCGTAGTGTCTGTGTAATTTCTTCAGCTGTAATTCACACTAGTGACATTTGTGAATTTCTCAGTGGCCTAGGCTGAGAGAGTTTATGGTGAGGGAGAAATCCTCAGGGAGGGATTTCTGGGCTGTTTATCAGGTTGGGGTTTATGCTTGGCAGGCCTGGGGGCATGTCTGGTAGCAATAGCCCATGAGGCTACTTATTAGACCCAGGATGCTAGCATATGGCCACTCAGCTGGCAGTGGTGCATGTTTGCTGGGGGTCACCCACAGGGATGTTTCTCAGGCCAAGTTTGTGAGCACACAACTGCTTCACTGGCTCGGGGGTGTTTCTATGGGAGTGGCGCATAGGATTATATTATAGGCTTAGGATGCAGGTGCAAGCTGCTTGGCTGGCCCATGGGCCATGGGGAGTGGACCATGGGGTTGCTCTTAGGCCTGATATGTGGGAGCATGGCTGCTCAACTGGTCTTTGGTATGTCTGCCAAGGGTGGCTCATGGGGCTGTTTTTCAGTTCTGGAATATGGGTGCTTGGCTGCTTGGGCAGTCTTGGGGAGTATTCACTAGCGGTTGCCTGCCAGACTATTTCTCAGGCCCTGATTTCAGGCATACAGGCCTTGGGCAGACCAGGCATGTCTACAACGGGAAGGGCCCTTTAGGGCTGTTTCTCAGGTCCTGAGCAAGGGTGCATAGCCACTCTGCTGGTCTGGAACAGAGCAGCGAGCTCAAGGGAGGCTCTCCCTGGGTGAAACTGACAGACTGTTCCTCTCGCTGGAAGTATGGCGGTGGGAGTTGGTTTTCCTGCAGTGCAAGACTAGAGTCATAGCTGATCCTGGATCATGGGCCCAGGTTCAGTGTGGTGGGGGTTGTGATATTCAGCCACTTGTGTGGGCTTGGTGAAATGAACATGGAACCCACTTCTGGAGAAGTGCATTGGATACTGGCCCACTGACCCATCAGATGTGGCCCTTATCTCAAGATGATGCCATGCTTCAGCAGCTTGGCTCAGAAGGAGTGTGTGGGGGTGAGGAGTGTGTACCTTTTGGTCTTTATCCAGGGATAGTGTAGCTGCATGAATTCCTGGCAATTCTCTAAACTGGGCTCAGGGCTTGCGAGGACTATGGGATTCTCCAGTTGTAAGGACTGTAGGTGTTTGTGGATGGCAGTGGGGGTCGATGGGGATCTTCTGCTTACCTTTTCCCCACAGTGGGAAGTCTCACCTCACTCTGGGCAGGTCTGATCAGGGCAGGGAGACAGAGCTGTAGAGGCCAGGTATCTCCATGCTGCTTTCCTGGAGTTCTAATCACTAAAGGTGCATCTTCACTCTTCAGCTGTACTCCAGGGCTCTCCCGTTGACACTCAAGTCAAATCTTAGCTAATTATTAATTGCCTTGGTCCTTTCTTGGGGAAGAGGGCACAAATGCAAGGCATCTCTAGTCAGCCATCTTCCTGTCATCACTCTTCAAGTTTTCACATTTTAAAGAACAGTGAGATATAGAGTTACTGTATAGGTGTTAGCAAGATTTAATCATCATTTTTGGATGTTAGTGAATAGCTTAATACTGCTTGAAGCAGTTGAAAGGCAACACATTTTTAGAGAATATAATTTTTAGGAGATAATGGAAGCTTGACTCATTTCTCAGTCGTATATCTCTTCCTTTATTTAAGATACAGAACACAAAGTGGAGGAGCTTGAAATACCAAAATTTAATACATCTACTTTTTTGAATAGATCAAAATTCACTAGGTTAAATATCATCTACCATTTGTTTCTAGGGAAGGATTCAAATGTGAGATTAATCAAAATGACGCAATATGGTGCATTTTTTTGAGGTAGAGGAGAACTTTGTAGAGAAAAGGAAAAGAAAAATACATCTTTGGATTGTTGGTATGGGTTTGCACATAAGTAAGTGCTCATTAAATATTTAATAATGAACAATAAATAAGGAAAAATGACTTTGAAGTTCTAGAACTGGGGAGCAAGTTTCAAATCCTGGGCATACTTCAAATTCCTTCTTCACTATCACTTTCTTAAAAGTGATAAAATCCATTGCTTGGCTCAGCTTTATTATAGTGGACCACAATAGATATTGCAGCAATTAAATAGGGAATGTATAACTGGAAAAACTCACAGGACTCCACAAAGCGTACTTTCAAAAGGTTTTAGTAAAGACAAAGACCACAAAATAGCAGAAAGAGAAAGAAAGCACAGGAAAATATTAGGAAGATTTCAGACATTCGTTTGCAGCTTTCAACGATGTTGCATAGGACACATTTAGTCTCTGGATTACAATCCACTAAGATATGTAAAACCAAGGAGAAATTTACTGAGGAATGTTATGTAGCAAAAATGAGGCTGTGTAACCCAGTGAACCAAGTCTACAGTATTAGTCTGTACAGTATTAGTTTCAGTAAACAGCATAGACAAGCTGGTATTCTTAGGGACCTCTTGGACTTTAAAGAGCATTATTAATCTCAGACTTGAAAAAGCATTATTAATAAAAAGCATTATTAATCCCATGGTCAAGATAAGGATGAAATCTTGACCATGGGAAGATCCATGGTTCTAGGAGCCTGTGGAGACTTATCTCCATAGAGTTGCAAGATAAGCTGCAAGTGAACACTATCTTTACACATATATCTATTTTTTAGGTGGAAAGACCAAGAAAGGATAAAATGTACCAAAGTTTGTTCAATCCAGCCAGTCCCCAGCAAAGTCCTGAAAGAATGAATTCATTTTCTGGTAAGTTTTTATTCCTCTTTTAAACTTTAACCGTGGAACAGAGTAAAGCGCTCTCAATGTAATTAAATGTCTGGCAAGTTAATGTGGATAGAGAAATATGCAATCTCAGACACTTTGGAGTAAAACTGTGTAACTTTAGGCAGAAGTCCTATTTCATTTTGTTCTTCATAGGTACTATAGAGATAGAGCACATGAGAAATCAGTCCCCAGGCAATCAGTGAGATAGCAGGAGGCAGGACGAAACACTTTATTGTTATTGCTCTCAGCTTGATCTGTAAGGAAAGGTCATGATTTTATTGCCAAATTACCACCAAAAAGACAAAAAAATCAAAAGCCTCTGCTCCTTCACTTAGACATGTGCTTCACCTTGGGCAAGTTACTTGATTCCACTAAACTACGGCTTTCCTATATAAAAAAATGGGAACACTGATACTAACCACATGGGGATGTTGCAAGAATTAAATGAGTCAATATACAGAAAAGTACTACAACACACGGAGGCCTTAATTATAATTCTAAAATGTTCTTGTCAGAGAGGTGGGGATTAATATTTTTCCCTGATGCAATCTTCTAGCAATATCAAGGTACTAAGCAATCAGTCTTTTTAGGATAGTATTATATAGTTCAATTGCTGGTGCCTTGCTCCTTTGAACTTTGATCTGTTTGAAGGAGATCCCTTTATACTTTTCCCTCAGACAAAAAACACTACACATTATTCTAGTATACTACTGTTTCACAGCTAAACCAGCGTGACTCACTGTATTAGGCTTATTGCAATTTCTACCATAAACTTAATAACTTAACACAGATTTATTCTCTGACAGTTCTAAAGTCAGTGTCACTGGGCTAAAGTCAAGGTGTCAAAAGGCTGGTTCCTTTTGGAAGCTCTGAAGGTAGAAATTCATTTCCCAGACTTTTTTAGCTACTACTGGCTGCCTGTATTCCTTGGCTTCCTACATCTTCAACGTGCATCACTCCAATTTTGCTTCCATCATCGAATTGCCTTTTCTGACTCAGATGCCTCTTCTTAAAGGGAAACTTGTGATCACACTGAGTGCATCTGAATAATCCAGGGTAAGTTCCCTGTTTCAAGATCCTTAACTTAGTCAAATCTCAAAAGTCCCTTTTGCCATTTAAGGTAAAATTCACAGGTTCCAGGGATTAGAACATTGGGATCAGGATCATTATGCAGCCTTCTACACATACATTATTTTATACTCATATCAGGAGGAGGTAGGCTGGCTCCACTTTAAGATGTACAGCTGTAGTCTTCAGAAGTCAAGTGACTCATTGGCAGTGTTACTAGTTACAGTGCAGAGCTAGTAAGTCTTTATTTTGCTTTTTGTAAATTCAGGAAGACTTGATTGAAATGTTTGGTTAATAATGACATTTATTTTGCAATAGTTTACAGTTTACAAAAGAGCTGGCACCAAATGATCTTGTTTTGTTAGGATAATCTTATGAGTTAGAGTTTATTTATAAAATTTAAGCCATTTTTCCAATGTCTTTAATGAGCCTCTACAATAAGCCAAGCCCTGTGTTAGGTGATAGGGATACTCTAGTGACTGATACAGGCAAGATCCTATCATGATGTGGTTTATATTCTACTAAGGTAGATGGACAAAACCATAATAAATTGAATAATTGCAAATTGTAATTAAATGCTGCAAGATAACAGATGAAGAAATGGAAGACAAGAGTGATGAAGGGACTCTCACAATGTCACACAATAGTAAATGGAAGAACTAAGTCTTGAATTTAAAGTTTTGAAAACTTTTGTTTTGTGACTGTAGGGTATACATATGGTATTCCCTGCATACTCAGCAATTTTTTTGTTACTAATTTTCCCTAGGATGTAATATCATCTGTTCAGTGAGGACCATTTTTTTCTCATGGCTCATGATTATGTTATAACTTAACACAATTTTATCCTCTGTAAGTTCTAAGGTCAGAGGATAAAATTTATGTTAATAGGCATCAATGTACAATTGTCTCTCCTTATTTGCAGGTATTGGTTCCAGGTTCACCTGTGCGTACTAAAATCAATGCATAATCAAATCTTAGAGTTGGTCCTGAAACATCTGAGGATAGAAAAAGTCAGCTTTTCTTATATAGATATTTGCATCCTGAGAATACTATATTTTCAATCTGGTTTTTGTTTGAGTGTGGTGTGGAGAGCCAACTGTACTTATTGAAAAAACATTTGCATATAACTGGATTCATACAGTTCAAATCTCTGCTGTTTAAGGATCAACTGTGGTTGGTTTCCTTGTGACAACTGTCCTGCTAGGGCATCACGCTCTTGTGTTTAATACTAAGCAGACTTGGTGAGTGTCAGAGTAAGTCTTTATTTTTATTTTTAGAACCATGCACTCAATAGTGTCTACCTGTCAAGAAGATCCACAGCTAAATTACTAACATAGTGCTCATGTAAGCAAATTTTTATGAATTGTGCTTTCAGGATGATTTATTGCAGCTTTATAGCTTTTGCTGTGACATATTTTATCTACATTTAAAATTTTGTTTAAAATAATAACAAGCTGGAATGCAATTTTAGTAACAGTTGCATTTGGCCAATAAGACAATTTTTAGTAAGTAGTCAGTACGCATGCATTCACCTAGTTATTTTTTAAGTATTGCTTTCTAATTGACACATAATAATTGTACATATTTATGGAGGACAGTATGATATTCTATTACATGTTTACAATGAGTAATAATCAAATCATGGTATTTATGATAGTCATCACTTTGAATATTTATCATTTCTTTGTGTTGGGAATACTCAAAATCCTCTCTTTTAGCTTTTGGAAATAATGCAATAAATTATTGTTAACTATAGTCACCCTGTAGTGCAATAGACTATTGGAAATTATTTCTCCTATCTAGCTGTAATTTTTTTTTTTTTTGAGACAGAGTCTCAGCATGTCACCAGGCAGGAGTGCAGTGGTACGTTCTCCGCTCACTGCAACCTCTGACTCCCTAATTTGAGCAATTCTCCTGCCTCAGCCTCCCGAACAGCTGGGATTACAGGCATGCACCACCACATCCAGCTATTTTTTGTATTTTTAGTAGAGACGGGGTTTCACCATATTACCCAGATGGTCTCAATGTCCTGATCTTGTGATCTGCCCACATTGGCCTCCCAAAGTACTGGGCTACAGGTGGCAGCCACTGTGCCCAGCTAATCTTGTATCTTTTAATCAGCCTTTCTTTATCCCCTCTCTCCTTTACCTTGTCCAGTCTCTGGTAACTACTATTTTACTCTCTACTTCTATGAGATCAACTTTATTAGCTTCCACAGACTTAGAACATGTGGTAATTATTTTTTTTGTGCCCGGCTTATTTAATTTAACACAATGTCCTCCAGATGTATCCATGTTGCTGACAATATTAGGATTTCCTTCTTTCTTATGGCTGAATAGTATTTTATTGTGTATATCTATCATATTTTCTTTCTTCATTCACCTGTTGATGGATATTTAGGTTGATTCCATATCTTAACTATTGTGGGAGTGCTGGTTTAAATACAGGAGTGCAGCTATCCCCTCAACATACTGATTTCCTTCACTTCAAATATAAGTCCAATAGTGGGTTTTCTAGATCATATGGTAGTTCAGGTTTTTAGTTTTTTGAGGAAGCTCTATACTTTTTTCCTAATGGGTACACAAATTTATATTTCCACAAACAGTGCATAGAGGTCCTCTTTCTCCTCACTTGGTCATGATGTCTAATCTTTTTGATGTGCTGTTGGATGTGGTTTGCTGGCATTTTGTTAGTTTTTGTCTTTTTAATAGTAGCCATTCTAATGGGTGAAATGATAACTCCTTGTGTTTCTGGTTTGCATTTCCCTGATGATTAGTGATACTGAGCATTTTGAAAATATACTTTTCTGCTATTCATATGTCTTTTTTGATAAATATCTACTCACATAATTTACCCACTGTTTTCCTGAAATGCTTTTTTAAATTAATGCATTATACTTGTATATATTTTTGGGATTTGCTCATGTTTCAATTGGGTTATTATTATTTTTTGCTGTTGACTTCTTTAAATTCCTTGTATATTCTGGATATTATTTTCTTGTTGGAGAAATAGTTTGAAGATAATTTTTTCCCATTATATAGGTTGTCTTTTCACTCTATTAGTAATTATTTCCTTTGCTGTGCAGAAGTTTTTAAGTTTGATAAAATCCCATTTGCCTATTTTTGGTTTTGTTGCTTGTGATTTTGAGGTCTCCTCCACAGAATCTTTGCCGAGACCAAAGTACTGAAGCATGTCTCCTACATTTTAATCTACTAGTGTTAGAGTTTTGGATATTACATTTAGAATTTGGATCTTACATTTGAATCCATTTTGAGTTGATTTTTATTTTGGAAACAGTGAGAAATAGAGGTCTAATTTCATTCTTCTGCATATGGATATCCAATTTTCCAGCACCATTTTTGAAGAGCCTGTCCTTTCCCCAATGTATGTTCTTGGCAGTTTTGTAAAAAATCAATTGGCTATAAATGCATGCAGTTATTTCTAGGTGTTCTGGTCTGTTTCATTGGTCTATGCATCCATTTTTATGCCAGTGCCCTGTCCTGTTTTGGTTACTATAGTTTGCAGCATTATTTCGAGGTCAGGTAGTGTAATGCCTCCAACTTTGTTCATTTGGATCAGTATTGCTTAGGCTATTCAGAGTCTTTCATGGTACCATATACATTTTAGGGTTGTTTTTTTATTTACATAAGGAATGACACTGATATTTTGATAGAGATTACATTGAATCTTAAATTGCTTTGGGTTTCACAGACATTTTAGCAATATTAATTCCTCTGATCCATGAACATGGGATGTTTTTCTATTTCTTTGTATCCTTTTCAATTTCTTTCATCAGTGTTTTATAGTTTTCATTACAGAGATATTTGACCTCCATGGTTAAATTTATTTCTAGGTACTTTGTTTCTTTTTAAAGTAACTATTGTAAGTGAGATTGATCTCTTTTTTTTAATTTTTTTTTTTGCATTTAAGGTTTTGGGGTACATGTGAAGAACATGCAAGATAGTTGCATAGGTATACATGTGGCATTGTGATTTGTGGCCTTCCTCCCCTTCACCTATATCTGGAATTTCTCCCCTTGCTATCTCTCCCCGACTCCCTAACCCCTGCTGTCCCTCCCCTATTCCCCTCAACAGACCCCAGTGTGTAGTGGTCTCCTCTCTGTGTCCATGTGTTCTCATTGTTCAACACCCACCTATGAGTGAGAACATGCAGTATTTGATTTTCTCTTCTTGTGTCAGTTTGATGAGTATGATGTTCTCCAGATTTATCCATGTCCTTGCAAAGGACATGAACTCATCGTTTTTGATTGCTGCTTAATATTCCATGGTGTATATGTGCCACATTTTCCCTGTCCAATCTATCATTTATGGGCATGTGGGTTGATTCCAGGTCTTTGCTATTGTAAACAGTGCTGCAATGAACATTCGTGTGCATGTGTCCTTATAGTAGAATGATTTATAATCCTTTGGATATATACCCAGTAATGGGATTGCTGGGTCAAATGGAATTTCTTTTTCTAGGTCCTTGAGGAATCCCCATTCTGTCTTCCATAATGGTTGAACTAATTTACATGCCCACCAGCAGTGTAAAAGTGTTCCTATTTCACCACATCCTCTCCAGCATCTGTCTCCCAATTTTTTAATGATTGTCATTCTAATTGGCGTGAGATGGTATCTCAATGTAGTTTTGATTTGCATCTCTCTAATGACCAGTGATGATGAGCATTTTTTCATGTTCGTTGGCCTCATGCATGTCTTCTTTTGTAAAGTGTCTGTTCATATCCTTTGCCCACTTTTGAATGGGCTTGTTTGTTTTTTTCCTGTAAATCTGTTTGAGTTCTTTGTAAATTCTGGATATCAGCCCTTTGTCAGATGGGTAAACTGCAAAAATTTTTTCCCATTCTGTTGGTTGCCGATTCACTCTAGTGACTGTTTCATTTGCCATGCAGAAGCTGTGGAGTTTAATTAGGTCCCATTTGTCTATTTTGGCTTTTGTTGCCAATGCTTTTGGTGTTTTGTTCATGATGTCCTTGCCTACTCCTATGTCCTGGATAGTTTTGCCTAGATTTTCTTCTCGGGTTTTTTATGGTGTTAGGTCTTATGTTTAAGTCTTTAATCCATCTGGAGTTAATTTTAGTGTAAGGTGTCAGGAAGGGGTCCAGTTTCTGCTTTCTGCACATGGCTAGCCAGTTTTCCCAACACCATTTATTAAACAGGAAATCCTTTCCCCATTGCTTGTTTTTGTCAGGTTTATCAAAGATTGTATGGTTGTAGTTATGTTGCCTCTGATGCCTCTGTTCTGTTCCATTGGTCTATATCTCTGTTTTGGTACCAGTACCATGCTGTTTTGATTACTGTGGCCTTATAGAATAGTTTGAAGTCTGGTAGTGTGATGACTCCCGCTGTGTTCTTTTTACTTAGAACTGACTTGGCTCTGCGGGCTCTCTTTTGGTTCCATATGAAGTTTAAGGTAGTTTTTCCAGTTCTGTGAAGAAGGTCATTGGAAGCTTGATGGGGATAGCATTGAATCTGTAAATTACTTTGGGCAGTATGGACATTTTCATAATATTGATTTTTCCTAACCATGAACATAGAATGTTTCTCCATCTGTTTGTGTCCTCTCTTATTTCATTGAGCAGTGGTTTGCAGTTCTCCTTGAAGAGGTCCTTTACATTCCTTGTTAGTTATATTCCTAGGTATTTTATTCTCTTTGTAGCAATTGTGAATGGCAGTTCATTGTTGATTTGGCTCTCTTTAAGTCTATTATTGGTGTATAAGAATGCTTGTGATTTTTGCACATTGATTTTGTGTCCTGAGACTTTGCTGAAGTTGCTTCTCAGTTTCAGGAGTTTTTGGTCTGAGATGATGGGGTCTTCTAGATATACTATCATGTCATCTGAAAATAGAGACAATTTGGCTTCCTCTTTTCCCATTTGAATAACATTTATGTCTTTTTCTTGCCTGATTGCTCTGGCTAGAACTTCCCGTACTATATTGAATAGGAGTTGTGAGAGAGGGCATCCTTGTCTATTGCCAGATGTCAAAGGGAATGCTTCAAGTCTTTGCCCATTCAGTATGATATTGGCTGTTGGTTTGTCATAAATAGCTTTTATTATTTTGAGATACGTTCCATCTATACCGAGTTTATTGAGGGTTTTTAGCATAAAGGGCTGTTGAATTTTGTCAAAGGCCTTGTCTGCATCAATTGAGATAATCATGTGGTTTTTGTTTTTGGTTCTGTTTATGTGGTGAATTACGTTTATAGACTTGCATATGTTGAACCAGCCTTGCATTCCTGGGATGAAGTCTACTTCATCATGGTGGATAAGCTTTTTGATGTGCTGTTGCAATTGGCTTGCCAGTATTTTATAGAAGATTTTTGCATCTATGTTCATCATGGATATTGGTCTGAAGTTTTCTTTTCTTGTTGAGTCTCTGCTGGGTTTGGTATCAGAATGATTTTGGTCTCACAAAGTGATTTGGGAAGGATTCCCTATTTTTGGATTAATTGGAATAGTTTCAGGAGGTATGGTAACAGTTCCTCTTTGTGTGTCTGGTAGAATTTGGCTGTGAACCCATCTGGACCCAGGTTTTTTTGTGTGTGGTAGTGTCTTAATTGCTGC